AAAAAGTTTGAAATATCCAATAAATTTCGTTCCACTTCATGATTGTGTCCCACTTGTTGTTGATTCTTCACAAAAAATGACAGTTTTATATCTTTATGTTTGAAGCCTGAAATGTGGCAAAAGGTCGCAAAGTTCAAGGGGGCCGAATACTTTCGCAAGGCACTGTACTATGGTTGTACGATTTCTACGTTAATGATCTGTTTTTATGTAGCTAAACACAAAGACTTGTCTCTGGTTACTTTTATCAATAAATAGTTTTTCATTGATTTTCCAAAAATTGTATTAATAGACTGTATATCACAGCATATATTGATATTCCAGCATAACATTATATACACTGCAGTAGAGCATTTTATCCATACTTTACATATACTGTACACTTTTAAAAACTGTCCACTCATTGCATCTCTACAAAAGCATGCAAACGTGTGCTAGCAGCCACTACACTGTCTTTTTAATTCATATGTAAATTGCTCAAGCCTGATTAAGTCAGGATTAAGATAATAAATTTAAATAGCAAATATTCAGAAATGGTAATAGGTTTGGCATGTGTGGAAGGCACCTGAGGGAGTTTGTTACCATTAATTTCTGGGTGTGTCAAAGCAACAGTATTATTCTCCTGCATTGTTAACCTTTAAATCTTTCTGGGCTTTTGTTTTAGTCATTTAACACTGCTGAACACATGAGCCTTTCAGTGGAGGCTAAAATTATTTCCCACTGCACAGTCACGGCTTAATTACAAACGCTGTCAATGCTTCTCTATGGAAGTCTGCAGCACAGTCAGCAAGTAGCTTGTTAACTAGTCCATGCCCCAATATCATCTCTGTAGCTGTGCGTGACTCTGAAATACATGTACACCCACCATGTAATGATCATAAAGGCATGTCACACTCCCGACAGCTGCAGCAGTGGATGTCATGTTTGACCTGGTGGCTTCTCTTGTTGTGATGAATTAGTTGGCTGCATAAATTCAAATGTCTTTATTAGTCTCTTGATATAACATTGCTGCAGCTCACCGCAGGCAAACGACTCTGACTACTCACAACTCCTCCTGAGTAAATAAGGAGGCAACAACATTAGATGAGCTGCAACAATCTAATTATCTTTTAATTCAAATCAGCATTTTATGATACCCTACAGAATGAAATATGTTTATTAAGTTCCCATTTACTGTTTATTACTGGAGCATAATGTGAGTAGAGTCAGGTGTCTGCCTGTCTTTCTCTCTCTGTGCCATGTCTTGATTTCTCATTATGCCGTGTGCCTAGGGTTATCGATCTCCGGGTGACATTAATTACATTGTCTAATCCTGAGGTGTATCTTTAAATATAGTAAACAAAGGAAATGAGCATCTAAGGCTAATTATGTTTACCATTTTCAGTCATGTCCTGGCTTCAAATATTTTTCAATAAATCCATGTCATCACAGTTTGTATGGATGCACCAATCCAGCCTTTTCGTTCCCTAAACTGATCCCGCTACCCAAACTTATTTGCTGCTACTCTGTGTACCCATTTGCTTCCAGTCCTAACATTAAAATCTCAGTGTGTAACTGGTTGGGATCACTCCTCTGTTCAATAATGTAACACTGCAATTAATTTTACATTATTCCTATTTAAACATTTGGCAGTTCATACGTATTGTTCTTTTTAGGCTTGTAAATATTTGAATTATATTGTGCATATATTATATCTTATATTATTTGAAATTGAGATAATAGGATGCAATCTGGAAGATGAATGGGGATCACTGCTGCTCTTTATCTGTATTTGTCAGGATTTCTTTATCATTGCTGTGGTGCTACCAGCTCTGGGACCTGTACCATTGGTGTTAAAAAGTTAGATCGCAGCCTTCTCTACAAAAGCAGTCACCTTGAATGTGACACAATCACAGATTTAGCAGCACTTGTGCGTGTCGAAACTAACAACTATTCAGTATGAGCATTAGTGTGGATTAGTATGCCTGTGGTTGTGGACTTGGCTTGTAGGGATTTCTTTGACTCTTGTGTGATTTCTGTCCTCATGACAGTTCTGTTGTCCAGCTGTCAGACCCAAGTGCAAATTCTATTAGCATGGGTCTATTCAATTCAGTTCTCTGTTGCCTGAAACCTGTGTCTCAAGAAAATGGAATGATTTCCCCCTTTCAGTGTTCATACACCATCCAATTAGGGCCCCCGAAGCACAAGGAAAAGAGTGATAGGCAGGCAGAGATGTGGGCACAAGAAGAACAGATTATAGAATATAAGTGGAGAAAGGAAGACAAAGGAGGGGTGGAATATGGCACCTGTGAATACAGTATTCAGTAACCTGAATTTATGTACTGTATTGCTCTTGATCAGTTATTGTAGAGAACAGGCTGTACAACAATGTTGATGCATAGCCTAACATTTAGCGTGTTTTAGCGACTTCCATATTCAAACACTTCACTTTGTTTAACACACTTCTGGTCCTTCTGTTATAATTCTAATTCTAATTAATGTCAGTTCCTTTTCTCTAAGTTCTCAGCATAATGGTTTGAGACAAGTAACAAATGAGCATGAAGATGCATCTAGGATTTCTCTGATAATTACTAACAAGGGTCTTGAAACAGTCGTGACAAATCTTTATTAAAAAAAAACGTTAAATTCCATTTAAAAAAAAAAGACTTCAGACTGTATTAAAGTCATAAATTAAATTTACAAAAGTCTTATATTTACTCTGGCCAGCCACTTGGAGTAATGTTAGTTCTAAAATGTTTCTGTATGTGATCGCAGCCTGTCGGGAAGACGTTATATTCCTCTAAACTAAAACTGGGATGCTGTTGAAGCTGTTTAACAGCTAACTGAGATGTCTGTTTTAGCAAAAACTAGAAAAAACAGTCAACCAAAAAAAACTAGACATGCAACTAACACTTTTTTTTTTACCCCATCAGTGAAGCTGCCTTTTAAATAAATTTTTTTGATTCATTATATATTTGTTTAGACTGTCACAGTGTAGTGAAAAACACTACCTCAGGTGATGTCTTCACATGGAATCGTGTGTTCGTCCGTCAGTCCAAGACTCATACGTGACAAAGACATGTTTGGCATTTTTGCTTGCAAAGTCACTTTACTAGTAATCCTATTAAAACAGTTGCAGATTCATTTTTTTTTATCCAAAGTTTTATTTTTAATAGATTAATTCAATCTCTGTTGCTTATTTCGGCCCAGGTCATATTAATTATATCATTAGGAATGATGTTAGACAGCTGAAAAATGCTGAACACAAATCTGATATATCCTTATCCTTTAATATTTTGGTCAGTATATATAGGTGCATATGCAGGAACCCAAAATATAAGAATTAAGAAAGACCTTGCATGAATGATAATCCAACTCCTTTTTTGTTTTTAACAAATTATACATAATATTGTATATCAGTCACAGTAACCAGTGTGAACAAAACAGAGAGAAGACTCATTTATCCTTAACACAGCGCCATTTAAAGCTGACTGCCAGACAAAGACACACACATCTTGCTGCAACAAAGACGCAGAGAGTCTGCCACCTCTCAGTGAATTACCAAAGCTAATTGCCCCTAATTAGGAAGCCTTGATTAAGGTGCAGTTTCTGATTTAAAAGGAAGCCAGCAGTGATGATCCCTGTCAGTTTCTCTCCATTCTAATTGCTCATTTTATTATTCCCTTCTTCTCCAGTTGATCCTGTCAAAGGACTGTATGCATAACTGCAAGCAATTTGTGCAAAAAATAAGCAGCTCTGTGTATTGCTGCCTAGTGACCTCAAATGAATTAGATGACTACTTCTGTCCTGATTGTGATTCTGGAAGAAAAAAAATTAAATGCCTTTAGAAATCTGATTTGTCACTTAGTTTAAGCATTGTTCTTTAGGGTCTATTAATAATATTTTCTCTAGTGATGTTAGCAGAGGTAGCATCTTGTTAAAATAGTCCATTTAATCCTCAATTAAACCTTAGTACAGCAGCCAAAGGTGAGAATACACGACAGCTGTTTGTGTTCTTACAGCAGCATGCTATGTTCCATCACAGTTATGTTCATAAAAAGACAATTCAGCTTTAATATTATGCGATCTACCCTTTATGACAGTGACACAGAGTTTTAATTTACAAAACTGTGACAAGATTTGAAAAATGCATTTAATTTCTGACCAAATAACTGTGATATTCTTCAGTTCTGTATTTAAACTTACAAGTGTTGTAACAGAAGCACGTTACACAACTGCCCATTCCCTCCATATACTCCATAGAGTATTCAACTTGAATTAATTTGGAGTGGCCTGTTACTGATATGCTATAATTAGACCCCTTTTCTTTGATGAGGCATGCTGTTCTATAAATCTCATCATTTCACACTCATCATTTCTGCTAGCAGACAAGCAAAGCCCTTGAGGTATTCATAAACATGAACATAATAACTTCCCAGTGTCCATAAATCATTTGGAGGGTGTTCTGTTCTTTAAACCTACGGGTCAGTAGCAAAGAAATCATTTATTTTCTATGAAGCGGCAACATATTACGGGATCCTAAACCACAGGACCATAACTATACAGTATATTTACAGTCATTATTAGGGTGACCTTACAATTCCATAATCGTTTACAAAGAGCAGATTGAGAGGGATGATGTTTGCATCCTATGAAACAGCATCATGTGTTCCACTGAACAAAATAGAGTGATTGTGCCCTCTGGCTGTATCAACGTAAATTATATGACCTGTTTTATTTTATTATTTTCTTAATCCCTGTGCAACAAGGCAAGTTAAAGCAACATTTTTCATATTTAACTACATCACCAGATCCATCCATCCATCCATCCATTTTCTACCGCTTAGTCCCTGAACGGGGTCACGGGGGGTGCTGGAGCCAATCCCAGCCGGCAATCGGGCGAAGGCGGGGTACACCCTGGACAGGTCGCCAATCCACATCACCAGATGATTTGTGAAAACAATCTTTGGAAATGCTGTCTTTATTTAAATGGTTATGTAATTTGTTCTTTTGTTTTCTTTCAGATCCCTTTTCATGTCCAAGTGAAGAAACTGGGGTCCTGGTGAGTACAAGATTCAATTAAAACCTTTGGCTGTCCTCATTCAGCCCAAAACCAGATAATTCTCATACAGAACAACTGCTGCTTGGGAGGCTTTGTTAGTATTTGTGCATGACAGTTTTGATGTGGCAGAACAGTAGAGAAACAGAAGAGCACAACACACTTTAGCCATGTTGTGACCTGGAAGCCTCAGGCTTTACTGGTTGGACATTTAGATCAGTGAATTCAGAGACTAAATTTGTGAGGAAACTGGAAATTAGTCAAAGCAAGGGACAAGTAAAAATAGGTTAACATGTAGTTATGGCCAGAAATACTGGCACCCCTGCATTTCTGTCAGATAACACACCACTGCTCCCAGAAAATTATCTTTGGGATTCTCATGTTTATTTGTTTGCATTGGAACAACACAAAACGCAGAGAACAAAAGCCAGATCTGAAACATTCCACATGGAACTCAAAAAACAGACTGGACATAATTATCGACACCTCTTCAAAATCATCAGAAATGGTTATATTTCAAGCATGTGATGCTCCTTTAATTTGTAAAGAAACTCACCTGTAGCAGTCAACAGTTGCTGGCAATATAGACCTGGAGCATTTGGCAAAAGAAGAGTGATCCAAAATTCCAGTAGAGAGGTCCAAGAAACTCACTGATGGTTACAGAAGGAGACTGATTTCAGTCATTTTGTCCAAAGGGTGTGCTGCAAAATATTAAGTTGAGGGCGTCAATAATTCTGTCCAGTTAGTTCAGTCATTTTGTCCAAAGGGTGTGCTGCAAAATATTAAGTTGAGGGCGTCAATAATTCTGTCCAGTTAGTTTTTAGAGTTCTGTGTGGAATGTATCAGATTTGGCTTTTTTCCCTCTGCATTTTGTTGTTCCAGTGCAAACAAAGGAAAAAACATGAGAATACTAAAGAATTTGTGATTGCAACCATTTTCTGGAAGACATGGTGTGTTATCTGACAGAAATGCAGGGGTGCAAATATTTTTGGCCGTGACTATATGTAAACACAAAGCCAAGCATCCCCACAGGTTGTTTTCACCATTTATGAAAAGAACCATACACATGGATAAGATGTTTTAAAAGTTTTAAAAAATTATTTATAATATGGTACAAGGATATTCTGTGCAAGAGGTTGTTGGAGCTATGAAACCTGTACATTATGAACAAAGCTCTGAAAATTCAAAAGTAACCTGAAAGCAGAGCATGACTACTGGGCCACGACTTGTCAGCGGCAAACTATCAAGATACGAGCTGTATTATACAATTGGTTTCCGCCAGTATACAATGGCTGTATAGGATTAGATTACATATTTATATAAAGTGCAAAAAATAAGCACTTACAGCGAAGGCCTGAAGTGCTTTGTGACCGAGTGTAAACCCAACACCACATGCTAAAAGGCTTCTCATTATATGGCCAGGTGGTTGGGCACAAACCAAAGACTTGGCAGAGCAGTATCACAAACTATACTGTCCATAATTCAGCTGCAGAATATATACTGTATTAGAAAATGTATGAAAGGTTACCAATCTGTGCAATATATTGAATGCTACAAATATCAGTATGAACAGTGGTGAAAAGGTTATTTGAAATTCCCTTTTTTACAATTCTAAATACACACTTGTTTAATTTGCTCCTTCTACACAGCATAGCACCACAGGCTCTCATTTTTTTTTTCAACCATGAATATGAAATAATCCAAAATAAATGAGAGGATTCATTCTTATTTCAGAGGAACAAAGATATAAGAAAATATATGCACTGTTAGTGACTAGATTACATGTTTTGTTTATAATTCATAATTCTGGTTTGTCTCTATAATGATTCAAGGTTACAAAAAGCAAGTGAATTCAGCATCACAGTTGAATCTCATAAATACAGGAGAGCAAAGAGGCATCAAGCGGTCCACCAGACTCCAGCACCTCTCCAATGCACAACACCAGCTGCTGGGGATTTTGGGGGATTATCTAGGTCTGCTGGGATCCCTGGAGAAGGACAACATGAAGAGTAGGTAAGCTGTATGGACACGTGGTTGAAACCAAAGACTGGGTAGCTGTAATTGACATGTAATGCAGTCTGGGTGTTGAGACTTTTGTCCTTACTGAGTTGATTCTTTTACGTTTCCAGCAGTCTGGATTGAGTCGTTTCTGCTCCTCAGCCAGAGCTTTGGCCTCCATGGTGTACATCCTCCTCTCCTCACTCTTCATCTTCTTCCACTTGTCACCCAGGATGACACTAATGGCTCTGGAGTGAGAGGTTAGAGATGATTTTTCTTAAATGTTGTACTCTGCAAGACTTATGTGTTACTTTATCTATTCATGAGGCAATTCTCTCTGTGTTAAACTAGTCTCAGGCTAAGTCCACTTGTACACGGGTATTGTTCCCTCAATTTAAAAAAAAAAAAAAAAAAATCCTTGTTTACAAAAAAATGCAAGAACGTGCTGTCAAGAGTACGCCAAGCCAACAGCCGGTAATATGAGCCTAGACATTCACTCATGTTGGTCACTAATGCCTGGCACTGGGGTCTGTGGAGTAAATCACTCTGGAAGTGATAAGTATAGCAGTGACCTACTGTCACCGGCCACTTTATTAGGTACACCTGTATAATTGTCAGTTGAGCCAAAACTCAGCTTCCCTACCCACATGTCAACACTGAAAACAGAGTTTCTAAAAACACCGTTTTCAGTGACCTAAAATGTAGTTTATGTGTGGATGAAAGGCCAAACCACATCAAAACTGCGTTTTAAAAACAACCCGTGTATGTATGGACAAGGCCTCAGTTGGCAGTTTATTAGGTACACCTAGCTAAAATTATTGCAGTCTAACAAAAGTTCTTCATGAAGGCGATGCCATTCAGCTGTTTCAGAGAGGTATTGATTCAGCTGTATCACCATTTAGAAAGACGTAGTTTGCGCTGTTGTTGAACTGTACTCCATTATACAGAGAGGTGTATATTTAGCCTAGCCTCACGGACATAAATGGGGAGGACAAAACAATAGCAACAACTGTCAACATAAAGTAATGCAGCACCACAAACTACATCTTTAGAACTGATGATACAGGTGAGTCATCACTTCTCTAAACAGTTTCAACAAAGACTGAACATCACCAATTTGATGAGCAAAGAATTTACTGCAGGACTATTGTATTAGCCTACATTAGCTGGACCAGGGTGTACCCAAACAGGCAACTGAGTGAGCAAAGCCTCATGTTTCAGTCTGTAGCTGTGGCCTTGACAGCTCTATCTACTAATCACCCAGCAGCACAGCATCTTCTAATTTTTAGCTTTGCAGTACACACTGCTCCACCTCAACCCTCATTCTCTAATGGTACCTCTGTTACATAAGCTAACACAACATGAGAGAGAGAAGGTCACTATAGGTCGTATTACACTTTCCCTCAGCATATTTTACTCCCACTACATCAATTACAGCTCCTATGATGGACAAAGTCAAGCATGTACTTCCTGTTTTGTTGCAATCTTCAGCTGGCTTCAGTGAACTTAGTGTCAGGAGTCACCTTTGTTCATAGGAACATTGCTGCACTGTGTCTGGAAATGGCAAAGTCATTATTGTAGTGTGTGCACCATCATGCTGTTTAGTGCAACAGTACACAGACTACAAACTGTACCATCGCTCTCAGTATACTGTGTATGTGAGTGTGGTGTTGAGTAAAATTGTTAAAGTAATACATTAGGATTAGTTTTAATATTAGACTGAATTAAGAACTTAGTTAGTAGAAGATTGACACAATATTTGTTGATTAGTTAACTTGTTTGTTTACTTTGTGTGCGTATGATTATTCTATCACATTAAGAAAATGAATCATTAGGATTTAGTTTAGAGCACGCATAAGTTTGCTTACTTATGTTACAATTATGTTTACATAGTTGAGTATATCATTCTGTGTGTTCACTGAATTCTTGGCCAGTATTTACTGTGTTAGCCAACTGGGGTACTGTTTAACATCAAGGGAACCTGGGTCATTAAAACACTGAATTTTAAGGTTAATAGCTTTAGCAAAGAGGGTCTACAGTTACTTTATTACCACCACCTGGCTGATGGGACGGTGGAGCTATTGTTTAGTGGAATTCCTAGAACAGAGATTAGATCTGAGCCAGGAAGAGGAAGCCACTTCAAAGGCAGGGCCATATACAGACACACACAGGTAAGATAGTTTAATTAGCCAAATGGAAAGCCATGTTTTATAGAGTGTAGTTAGTTGGAAACAAAGAAAGAAGTGAGTGTAGGAATTTAGATAGAGTAGGATTTCCTCCCTCTTTAGGAAGCTGCCTTTCCCATTGGAGCAGGAAGGACGCAGGAGGGGGATGGATGGATAGATGGACCAATGGAGCAACACGAGAGGACCAGACCAGCCTACAATTGCACATTTCAAATTGTATAAGTAACTGGGTTTCAGGAGGGTAGGCGTTCCTTCTCATCCTGAAGACGAATTGAACGGTTTTGCTGTTCAATTTAGGGTTAGGGCTTCAGATAGAGATGGAACCCAGAGCTCTGTAAATTGCTTTATTCGATTGTCTGTTCAGTTATGATAATAAATGTTTGAAAGGTGATAGTTGACTCCGATTATTCTTCATGAAGAACACGCTGCAGTGGCCTTGTTTATCTATACTTGTGGTGACCCAAACACAGAGTCACTCACATTCTGGGGACTTGCCTTTCATGTACTGGTCCTTGTGAAGTAAATCACTGAACTTTATGGTAAAGTTTCAGTGTTAGGTGACAGTAAGTCTCCAGGAAAACAAGGGTATGTGTATTATAGTCTGTAGTCTATTAGTGTGATAATACACAAAAAAATTGAGAAGAAACTAGTCAGAATAATAACTTTAAAATTTCTCTACACAGTGCAGCAGTGTTTCTATTGGCTGTTGATGCTGAATAGTGGTGAACTCTGACCTGTAAATCTGCTGGAGCTGGCTGGAAGTTGCAGTGAAATAGGAAACACATTTGAATTGAGGTGCAGCTGGGCTTCACTAGATATGACTGGGAAATGAAACGAATATTTGTATAGTGAACATGTGATGTGACCATATCTTAAAGGATAAGGCCAGTCATTTTCTATATTACCTTTTCAACACTGCCCATACAAAGACTAAAACAACAATGATTTGCCTCTACTCATGAATAATGTCTGTCAATCTGTCAGAACTGGAACAGTTCGTCTGTGCCACAGACCTTCACAATTACAAACACATGAGGAAAGCACACCACTACACTTTGTCACATACACACACCAGCCACTTTATTAGGTACAACTGTATGCACTTCAGTGCAGCACTTCCACCTTAACATCTGTGTTTATGAAGCTCAATGTTTGTTTTTGGTAAAATTGTCATAAATGTATAAATTTAATTGTTTATTTTTGAGCTCATAGTTAAAGGTGGTGTTGTACCGGACTAGATTATATTCAGAGATGTTCCTAATATTCCTGACCCTCTCATGTATGTAGCTGGGGAGGACAAAAATATACACAAATATAATGTAGTCCGGTACACCACCACATTTTGAGCTTCCAGTGAATGCATTTCCTCATTACATAACACCAGACCTGCATATTTATTAAGAATATCCAGCTAGCTTATGCATGGCCCTTGACTCTTGTTTACTTCAAATGCTGTCAAGAGTTACAGCTGTTTGGAGCCTTTGGACTAACATTTTCATAATGAGGAAATAGTGCAACTAGTGCAGGGCTGTGTTTTACTGTGTTTTTAAACAACAGTGGAGGTCTATGGCACAGACGAATAAGCGAATCCAGTTGTGATAGACTGTCTCTGTATGGGCAGTGTTGAATATACAGCTTCACTGAACAGAAGGCTAATGTGCAGATGTGGCACAGTCATAGAAATATTAACTTAAATTAGATCAATCTGCTTCACAAAAAAAGCTACCATATGTAACCCCTCAAGGGACTTCATTTAACTTTTGCATACCTGTTGTCCTTTCCAGGATACATCTGCGTGTATTCCACGCGATACTTCTTGGCAAAAAGCATGAAGGCATTCATTGGCCGCTTGCATTTTGTAGGCGTGGCACCACTGGCTGTCCCTGAGGTGTGGCTCCTGTTTGATTTGCTAATCAAGGATTGTGGGGAACTGGAGCGCTCAAGTTTATCACAGTCTGGACTAACAGCACCTCCACTGGACAGCGAGGTCCTGCGCTGACGAGCCATGCTGCTGAGAACATACACTGCTGAGGAATCTAGCGGGGTGAAGTCATAACTGCAGGAGAAAGGACAGAAAAAGAGAGTTAATACTGTGCCTGTAATCTGATACATTTAAATTGCAGATAAACTGTATCTGCTTTTCATGTGCTGTTAAATCTATTTCAAATTCTGCTACACTGCAAAACAGTTTTCATTTTAATTTCTCTCGCTGTGACCAAAAACATCACAAAATACTGTACATGTAAATAACTGTAGATGTGTGATAATTATTAAACAACATCTATAGACCAGTTATCTTAATGTTGAGATATGAACATTATTAACTCTTGTGGTTTCTTTGAAGTTTTAAAAGGAACATTTCACTTTTAGGTTGCTCAACAAAATCATCCTGCTCAAATATAAGAAGCCTGTAAGCTACGGATGGACTTGGATGTCGATAACAGCAAGGCATCTTTGAGAGGTTGTGTGTGTATAAACCGTATCAGTCATCATCACAAGAAAAACAGTTCTTCACACGGGTGATGGCACTTAATTTACTTGCACAGAGGATGATCACATTATTAGTATACCTTCTGAAAGTGTCGAAGACAACTGAGTCATCACAGTTAATGGCATCTGGGTGGTTGGGTGGCAGGCACACATCTCCTAGCTGCATCTCGTAACAAGGGATCCCATGATGCACCACAGTAAGGCTCGGATAAAACGAAGACCACCCTGTAACAAATGAGAAATTACAGTTTACATTGATCCTTAAAGCTGTGTATCTAAATAAAAAACCACATAGTCCTCAAATAGCAAACATTCTATAGTCAGTGAAACCTCTGTTGGCAAAGATGAATCTCACGCACTGCTTTAAAATCTGTCTGACATAGTTTTATCTTGAGCCGTCTCTCAAAACCCAATATTATGTTCTATTTGTACATACTGCTGAACAGGAAATAGTTATTTTACCTTTATTTTTTACAAAAAATGGGTGATCCAATCGGCATTCAGCTGTTAAAAGGCTGTCATCAGGTGAGCCAGGGTCAAAGGTCAGTTTAAGAACTGCCTGGCCAAAAGACACGGTCTCCTCATGGCTCACCAACTTTAGCCCCTCTGAACCATATCTCTGCAAATGAAGCAAAAGACCAACAAGAGGAAGCTTTACTCACCAGCAATGCAAGATAATTAAACACCATCAAAGAACTGGGGCAAAAACAATCTGGCGGCTGCCTGAAGATGTGGTTTCTATTGTACGATATTAGACCACCACTGCAAGTTCTCAGTACACCTTAAGGGTTTTCGAGAGTGCAGCAGATAACTAGACAAATGCATTTCCTGAAGAAAATGTGTGTGGATACTGATGGTCATTATCTGAAGAAGGTGAGAGCTTGAGAGCATTTCTAAAACAGCAGAAGGCCTAATCCCACAGTGAGGTAGAAATTAAATGGCTTAAAGTTCTAAAAGAATCATTTTTACTGACATCTGACAGGTATATTTTAAAGGCAGACAAACCTGTGTGTGTGTTTGGGTGTGTCACTGTACCTCTGTGTGTGTTACTGTGTGACACTGTATTGCTTTGACTGGGTGTTTATTTTGTGTGTGTGTGTGTTACTGTGTGACCGTTTATGTGGTACCGTTTGTTAATCTTAATGTCTTTGTTTTAAGCAAATAAATGTGTGCCTCACCCCCTTTCCCTGCATTTACCAATAGCAGAAACCAGTGACTTTGGTGCAGCAGGTCAGGGTTCGATTCTCTGTCAAGGCAAGACAGAGGGGAAATAGACAGGTAGGAGAGAAGATAGAGAAGAGGTAGATGGGGAGGGAAGACAGACTGAGAGGGGAAATGAAGCTGTAGATGGGGAGGGAAAACAGGTGGCAAGGTGGGAGGGAAGACAGACAGGTGAGAGGGAAGATGTAGATGAGGAAGGGAAAACAGACAGGTGGCAGGGAAGATAAGTCTCTCCCCTCTCTATCATGCCTTGACAGAACCCCTGATTCCCTATTGTCTCAGCATCCTACCAATTTTGATACTGTACCAGTACCAAAGCCACTATTGATTACTTACCTTGAGAGAGGAGGACAATGGCACCATGGTTTCATCATCTGAGTCGTCATCTGAATCCCCGAGTTCATCAGCCTCCTGCCATTCCACATTAGGGCCTCGATGGAAGCGCAGGCGAGTTCCTGAAAACAGTGTAACAGAATGAATAAGCAGATGAGAGGCTTTGGGAAATGTGATGCAGTATTGCTGTTTAAACACCAGAGGTCAGGATTTCTCTGAAAATGTTTATAATTCACACTCATCCTGGTTGAGAAAATTGTAAAGGGAGGATCTTTCAGATTAGTGTCAGCACCTCTACAGCTCTGGTCCAAACAGTCTTGATTGCATGTCTGGTTCTCATTAGCCAACTTTAAGTCTAGAGCGCTTAAAAGGCACAATCAGTCCAGTTTGACCATCTAGTCTATTCACAAACATAAAGAGATTGAGCTACAGATAAAAACAAAATGTTTCTTAACCGCTCATGTTTGAAAAACACTGTATATTTTAATTTTTTATTTTTATTTTGTGGTTGTAAATATTAACAGATTAATGAATAGCTTTTCTGTTTTTAACTGTGAATACTAGACTGTGGACTATGTCGTCAAGCTACAATTCTCAAGACCATTTTTTTCCAAGAAAAATGCATGTTAGCAACATGAGGTTTAAGTGTGTGCATATATGCTCGTAGCTACCTATGTATATTAGCTTGTTTGTACGCACCTTTGAGAAAGCAATGCCAGACTGTGGAGGGCCAGGAATGGGACCAGGCCATGTCTTCGTCATCAGAAAATGAAGAGGACATTGAAAAAACTCCAGACTCTGATTCACTGCTGGCCTGTCATAAATTATGAAATACATCATACAGTGATATCAATAAAACAATATCCATATGCATGTCATGCAAATTTTTCTATGAAATAATCACTGGTTCTAAAGGAATGGATAATTCTTACCCTGACACGCCTGCGCTCCCTGAGGTGGCCTCTGGTCAGGTTGGGTGCACTACTGGCTAATGGGGGCCGGGCGTAGGAATGTAAACTGTTACTATTGCCAAAGATGTGGACTGGAGATGATCTGAAAAAAATGACAGTTATAAACACATGTAGTTAGTCTGCCATGCATATACTGTGAAAGGGCTAAGTCCACTTGGACTAATATGCTACCAAAAGACATGGCTGCAATGACACATTTCTCAAACATGAAATAACTTCCTACTAGAGATGCACTGATCAATTGGCGGGAGATCGGAAATGGCTGGTTTTTAGTGTGATTGGCCTTCACTGGTGACCTGCTGATCACTGAGATTTCGGATTCTGTGCTGATCACATTTAGAGGCACAGTAGTTCATGTCATGCACACAGTAGCAGACTGAAAGCATAGCATCTCACATGCACCTCAAGCGAGCCTCGCGCTCATGTCTGTACCGGGTGCGTGTTCACTCGCACACTGGAACCACCCAGTGCGCACACAGCACTCAGAGGAGCCCACAGAAACAGAAAAGGGGAAACTACATCCAAAATCTCAGACAAATCGTAGCTACACAATGAGGGAACTACTGGCAACACATGAAATGCATGTATATGTACTATATCCAACCTGTGAACTACACACACTTCAAAAAGAACTGTGTGCACAGTAGTAGTAGTAGCAGATGTTTTTCTGTTTCTATTACCTGTTGCATCTGTTCATATTTAGAAAAGTACAAATATTGCACTTCATTTTTAGTTGGAGGAGGTTGTTATGCTTGATTTTATTAAAATTTTTCATTAAAGAAAAGTTACAAAAATGTCTGTGTATGCTGTCAATAGACTAGTTTCCAGATAAATTGTATGCAAGTCTTTTGAAAGTTCACAAAAAGGAAACAAGAAATGCAAATTAGGTGCATTTCCATCAAGTGGTTGTAAGCAGATGAACTACGCTAGTTTTGCAGGAAGATGGCGGTATAGGTAACATACCATAGCTTGGCTGTGATTACCAAAAAACAAAAAAAAAGCAGAAGAAGCAGAGGTTACAAACCGATAACAAAACAGAAAAACTGGCAAACAGAGAAAATGGAGAGGGGTCTGGCTGAATTACTTTCAGCTGGGCAACATGTACTACTTTTTTTTGCAACTTGTACTTGTCCTCTTTGTTAAGAAAAGTATTGACCGTGTTCACAGCTGTCTGGAGATGAAGACAGAGAAATGCTGCACAACGGAAACAGCTGTGACATGAGTTTGATGTTCGCTACACCAGAACTTATTTGGCAAATGTGTTTCCATCTTCTATTTTGTGCATTAACAAAAGAATTAATGCACAAAAGTCAAAAACCACCTCAAGTGAGTGTAAAGTAGAGGATTATTTTTTGAATTTTGGGTGACTGAAACCCAGCTACTTCCAGTTCTTAGAAATAAAGACAATTGGAATCGGCAGGTCAGACTTTAAAAAAAAAAAAGGAAATTAGAATAGACCAAAAAATTGCAATCGCTGCATCTCTACTTAAACTGCAAAGAAAAGAACTTGATCAAAAGGGCACATAATGGTGATACTGTACATCTTGAAATTGATATTTAAAATGTATGTGAAGTTAAATGCAAGCCACTAAATAGATTAATTAGCCAGGTTTACTGTAAAGTTGACTTTGCATTGATAACTACATAACCATATTCTGCAATTCAGGTGTTTTCTTATACATGTCAATCCGGCTTTGTGGAATTTCCCCAGGTGTACTAGTGTGTTATTGCTTGTCTTATCAGCTTTTTTTGTGTGTTTATGTGCCATGTATGAATTCATTAAGCTTACAGGACTTTCATGCTCGTAGCCTATGTATCTGTACTAACCTCTTATGTGGGGTGTCCTTCAGCAGGGGGCTCTGAGGACTGGTGGCAATGTTGGCCAGCTCTGCGAGCCAGTTGGTGCTGGGAGAGCAGCTGAGCTCCTGGTGAGACACTCCTGCTCCAACCTGAAATAACCCTGGAGACCTCTGGTCCTCCTCCACCTCCTGCAGCTCTGGCATGTCATCTGCAGAGGGGCCAACAGAATTATTCATAATAAACATGAGGAAAAGGTCAGTTTGCTTAAATGTAGAATGTGAATTTTTTATTTACCATAATCCATGTGGCACACAGGTGAGGAAGGCAGGTCCTCATTACACTTAAGGAGATCAAAGGAACCATCCATTCTCACAATGTTCTGCTGTTTCCTCTTTTTGTAAACAGGCTACAGGTCAGTTTACTCAGCTTCCATCATCATATTCTGCCACGTCAGCTGGTTTTAGACAAAACCAAGACACAATTAGAGCTTTCACAAACAAAGTGAAACTGCTGCATAGTTCTGTTTACAAGACTTAACTGCTCAAAATTAATGATAATTGAGTCTTTGTTATTGCATGCATAATTATGAATGGTGTTGTGTGTATTTCGTTCGCAGGATCCATGAAATTATAAAAACAACTAACATAATACACAGCTGTCAACGATTTACAACCACATCAAAATAAATCGCCTAGACAATTTGTGATCATTGCAAGACATGTCATGTACTGTACCGCATCAATATAATAAAGGAAGATGGCCTTTACGGAATCCTTTGTCTGAATCGACACAGTAAACCTGAGGCTGGTCATGTGACCCGCTGCGTGGAAGCCTTGTTTATAAACTTAAGAGCAATTGGCGCATGCGTACCAGAGCTCATTCATTCATAACTGCGCAGAATGGCTGATAAAAAGCATGAATTTGTATTGAAAAGTATCTTACAGAAACCCGAAAACACTAAGCAGAAAAAAATGCGAGAATATGAATGAGTGTAAAAATGATTTATACTAATTTGAAAAACAGGTGGTCTTCAATAATATGCAACGCTAAAAAATATAAAAAATTATGAGATAAAGTGTTTACATCAAATGCATGAGTTTAAAAGGAAAAACTAAAGGTCGTTTGCGCTTTGACAATCGATCAATGGTCGCTGCAGTCTTGACAACCCACTGCTTTGGTTTCATATACGTGGATATACTAATAACATACCGTTAATGCAACGTTTCAAAAGTTTTATCATGCCCCAGAAGACAGTGTTAAGTTCTGGCCTACTGCTTTCCCACTCCTCAAAAGCAGCAGCGAGATCCTTAGCTCATACCCAGAGGCTGACGGGTCTACCACTGTAAACAAAAGAATGTCAACAAGTTGAGGCATGACGCAACCTCTGCCCCGTTCAAAATGAATGACCCGAAAACCTCCAAAAGCCTTTCAACGACATTTTCACAGTAATTAAAGCGGATTCTACCGCCCGAATGACTGGTTTTGATATACAAAACTGCTATCCGATGGATTTAGTACCACCAAACCAACGAGCGTCACAGCGAAAAAAATACCGTCGAGCAAACCTGCCATTTGGCATCAAATAAACGCATGACAACCCCACTAAAATACCATGTCAGTATTACAAAGACACGGACCACATACTGTTCACGTTAAAATGGAGTCTGCGCCGTTTATTTCTTCGAAAAAAAGTAGTCAACTTCCCACTTACCAGATCTGTCGCCATTGACAAACTCTCTGGCATTCACTCGAGGGGTGGAAACCAATGTTTCCAGAGGAAGCCTCCTATTGGTGAATAACAACGTCAATAACGATAATGCGCACATTCGATTGGTCAATACTTTTACAAAAAATATAGAAGGTGGGGCTTAGTTTGTTGATCATCGTATCATTGGATGAAAGTGTATGTCTGTTACGACCTAGTAACAGCTGATTGGCAATAACAGGAACAATACATGGTTCTTTTTTATCTGCAGTGTTGCAGCTACACCAAAAACGCGTTACTTTCTAAAATGTTTTTATTTCCCTTGTAATTAAATAACTCCTTTAACTTTTTGCTACAAGATCTAGTGATCTGTATCAACAAGAAATGAATGAATGAATGGTGAATGAGTGACTGAATGGTGGGGCCTTGAGGCAATGATATAGGGCTATAAAATCTTACTTGAATGAAAAACTTTGAAAGTGCACTATTACTTTAATGTAACAAATAACAGTGTGACACGCAAATATAAAAATGTTATTTATTGACATGAAAAGTGAAACATATGTACTATCAGCCAGTGTTTTGGGTGTGCCTTCAAAAATTACCAGTACTTCCTGCACGGGGGTGTGGGGAATAAATTCAGAATGTTTAAATGTTAAACCGTTAAACTGTTTAAGCTGCAGTAAACCACAGACAAAATACAGATGGCTTCAATTATTAATTTTAAAAAGACAGAGAAGAAGTGAGACATGACCCACTGTGGATCCTTATTGAGAGCGAATATCAGAATATGTTCCCAAACAGTTAAGTTGTTGGCAGAGGTAGACAGCAATGATGTATGTCATAATCAGAATATATGTTTCACCAACGCAAAAACAATGTGACTAAAATTTTACATTTAAACACAAGAAAACCATCTGTCTCAAGACATTGCTCATAATGACTACACTAACTTATTAATGGTGGGCCTATATAATAACATTAAATATTCAGTTCTAAACTGAACAGCAATGTGTTGGATGTTCTTACAAAAGTATGAGCTATCTCTGTGAATTAATTTGTTTTGTTTTTTTCTTCTTTTTTGCAAAAGCAGCATTGGCTTACAGCCACAAACACTTACCAACAATGAGATCATTTATGTAGATGTATTCAGGGAACTAATCTTATGATAAACAAAAATGTACTTTGTAAAAAAAAAAATGTTTAAATGCTGCCAAGTCTACATTCAGTTGTGACCAAAATGTGAAAGATGTCATTCAAATACAATCGATTCAACTTCCTTTTCAAGGTGTGGGGTGCTCACACCTCAAGTGTTAGTGGTCTTGCCAAAAAATGACAAGAGAATGTGACACATTTGCTCACAACTATCCAGTAAGAAATTAGCTTTGGCATCTGGTTTTAACTAACAATGCTTATAAATTTACAAACATTTTACTGTGAGTGTAACTATAACACCGTGGAGGTAAGGTGAGAGTTAACAAAAGTGTTCAACATACAGATACAAGTAAAATGTACACTTATATTTTAAAAGTGAGAGTCATGAGAAATGTCGAGTTTTAAGCACTGTGCTTTGGCTTACTTTTATCATAACACCCAGTAGCAAATGCTGTTAAAATGAACCTCTAATTTGGGGAACTTATGCAGACAGTTTTATCTATCTGAGACACAAATGTTGTAGTGGGTATTTACATTTCTTATAAGAAAAGCTGTTTTAGTGGTTATGTGGGAAAACATCCATACAAGCCTTTTTTTCATCCATGAATCCTGGTCCATTAGAGCGCTCTCATGCTATTTGTTGCTCAGTCTCAGGGCTACTTCCAAACAGGGCAACCAGCTGCTCCTCATAGTTAGCAATGTTCCTCTTCATGATGTCCATGCATGGGCCCAGCAGTCTCTCAAAGGCTTTAACATCCATCACTGAGAGAAGGGGGGGACGCACAGAAGAGTCAGACATAATTTAACAAGAGATGTGAAAAGTAATCGTAATACATAATAAATGGTATACTGGGGAATGTACACACTGGACACAGTATATGAAAGATAAGAAAACCACACCCAAGCATTTCACGCTCCCCACAGCATAGGCTGATGCAGCTCTGGGCTTGTTTGTAACAAGTGCCAACTCCCCAAAATACTGGCCCCTAGAACACGTCGCGATATCCACCTCCTCTTCCTCTTGGTCCTTTTTCGTCTGGCAAGAAAGAAATGCACACAATAACACACCAGAACAGTGCAGTTTTAAAAGATTTTTTTTCTTTACACTTAAAATGTAGAGACAGGCTGGGCAACCATACCCTGCTTCTTTTCATGGTGATTCGGACTTGACCAGACTCAACAATGTAGAAGCAATCTGCTAAATCACCCTGTAACACAAAGCATCAAAGCAGATGGAAATAAGTACAAAAATAGGTGTTCATAAATGCCTTACAGCAGCAGAAAACAAAATAATTAATGCAAAAACAGATCATGGACAGAGATTTTTCACCTGAGCAATAATCTGCTGTGAATCACTGTACACCTTGGTGGATAGCACGTCTACTACTTTCATTCTCTCTGAGAGCTGCGGATTAAAAGATATTCAATTAACAATAGTTTTACTGTAAATGCACACTGCAGTTTTTTAATACTGGAGCACACTTCTAACCTCTAATGATGTAAGCAGTGGTAGCGTTTCAATAAATGCCTCATACATCCTCCTCTTCTTGGCGTTGTTCTTCACTATGATCCTCCTGAATGTTAGTCGATCCTGAAACAGCGTTTTAAAGAAAACAACATTCAGGGTTATTTTTAAAAACAGTGAATAAAAATATACATTTTACAAGCTCTAATCGTGTCTTTGCATTGTTATTTGTATGTATATATCTCAAAAACATGCTCAGAAAAGTCTGGCATCAGCATATTTTTAATGCTGTGCTTGTTTTTTTTTCCCCAGGCTCTCTGGAATTTAGGATAACTGGGCAGTAATGTTTTCACATTGTCTTTACGACTGTTCTGGCACCCTTTCACCAAAAAAATAACTCAAAAGAAACAATAATTTGCAGTAGGGGTCACTGTAAACCAGATTTTAAATAAGCAGAGTCTCCTGTACCATTTAGCACAAGTACCTGCTGCCTTAAACGATAAGCCTTTAGAAATCCTTCAGCTGAATGTCAGTAGGATACAATATGGCTTAGACAAAGGTAATGATCGGCAACATGTTAGAAGACGATATTTAATGGTAGTACTAAGTTATGCAATGTACCGTAGGAAACATATGCCTCTGCTTAGGGCGCCTTCGAGCTGGTAAAAACAAGCTAACATGACTCACAGCTTCTGGTAAAGTTGTCAGATTCAGTCTTAGACTCTAGGACTCTGAGTACTATATGTGTAATATACTAACAGGCGGTCACTGTGTTAATTGTGTACAACTTTAAACCCAGGCATAAATAACCCTCTAATTAGAGCTTCTGCTACAGACTACTGTTTGCTTAGAGGCCCTCAGTATGGTCTGTCCTCAGCCTAATGGGCCTGCTGGTTGACCAGGGCTGGCTGCTTGTTCACAGACACAAACATGCAGTACAAGTACCAGGTCAACAGGGGGTACAGCTGGAACTTGTCTAGTGCGCACAGAGATGACATATTAAAGCTATTTAAGGACACGACCCTCAGTGAGTCATTAATAAACAAGCTGCTTCACACGGTGCACTACTGCAGCACCTGAATATTTACAGCTGTTCTGACCACAGTTTATAAAGTAGTTGGATACTTTTGAAGGAAAATACAATTAAACTGAAATTGTATTTAAAAATCATAGTCACACAGGGAATGCAGTATTTTCTTTACCTCAAATTGTGTCTACTTCATCACAGTGTTACAGTAGCAGCCCTATATCATTTAGAATTTGAGTGTTCATCTGAGGTGTATACCGGCCAAAACAGACACCCTTAGCCTTGTTTGTCCGAGCCGATCTGATAGCTGAGCTCTCTGAATGAGCCGCAAATCAATTTTTCATATTCAGTTTGCACATTTATTATCCACTAATGAACATAATTTCTATCCAGGAGCATGACCACTGCTCTTTTAGCTGTGTACATTCAGCGAGTTTTATACAATACGCTCTCAGCCAGACAATATGATGTCACTTATGATAGCAAGTACCAGCACTGCCATATACAACCTGGATGTTAACTGCAAAACATGACAACTGACAGCATGTGGAGCCAGCTGTGCTCTTACATGAAGATTTAATGGTTTACTCACTAGGCACCAAAGGGCTCCAGGTGAGGTGGCAATTATAGTAGCTGCCCTGGGGGTGTTGTACATCAATGCTAGCTCTCCAAAGCTGCCTCTGTTGTCATAGCAGCCTACCAGCTTTTCTGTGCCATCAACTTTCACAAAAATGTTAAACATCCCACTGAATGAAAATACAATAAGACAAACAGAGAAAAATAAATAAACACATGGCAGCCATATTGGTGCTTCCTGAAATCTTTAGTTAGTACTGACTTTACAAATATATTCATTTTCAAAATCACTTATTTAACAATCAGTTATATGATTTAGAAAAAAGTACCTTTCAATGACATAAAAGTTGTCCCCATCATCATCTTGGTCAATGATGTGCTCCCCCTCAGTGCAGAACTTATCAAACATGGCATCCAGCACCTGAGACATCTCTTCCTGTATTGTAAAGAATAGCAGAACTTAAAACGGGTTTGAATTTTAGAGGTTGAAACAATCAACCAGAATCCACTCAGCGTGCCAGTTCTGCCATCTTTAGAAATTATGCATAGTGCACTGAGCTGTGGTTAAAAGCTGCTGGCTTCAGGGCATGTTCTCCTTTGTGCGATTTAAAATATGGCAAAGCACACACACCAGAGGAGTACAGAGAGTTTATAGAAGAAGCCACACACCGGATCCAAATTCTTGAACAGGAGAATGTCTCTACATGCTTCCTGTAGCCTCTGTCTCTGCTCATCCGTTTTTGGGTAGGTTACCTGTAGAATAAACAACACACCTGTGATGCGTGATCTATGTTGGCTTACATATCAACATACACTCAGTAGAAGTCATATTGTTGAACATTTATTCAACAGAAATGAAAACTAAATCTCTGTGGCATGGAGCACAGCTTACCCTTGGCTCTTTATCCTCCTCATCTTCATCAGGGTTGAATGCTTCAGCACACACTGCATGACAGAGTTCAACAAATGAATGAACTTTTCAGTCACTACCAGACAGTAAATTCAACCAAAACTTCAAATTCCTGTCAAAACTCTCCCACATTTCAACTTCTCTTGTTGATAAATATTTATTTTGTGTGGTCCATCCAGAATTTTGTTTCTCAGGTTTTATTACATTATGTTGTTTTAAGATACAGGTCATGGTTCGTCTGACTTTTTGGATGTAGTTTTTAATAAATTATTGACAGTATTAGTAGTCACCACCTTCTTTGCATGTTTTCCTTCTCCAGCATACTTGTCTACTGTGTCTAACAACAAACGCCAATCAGTGGGGATGAGTCAGTGCCATTTCACGCAATAAATAATTCAATAAACACAGCCTGTTCTTGTCTTAATCAGAATCAGAATCATCTTTAATGGCCAAAGATGAAAAATATTGTATGCTTCCAGCATTATAGAATACTTTCTCTTGCTCATACTTTCCATTCAGACTGTCAAACATGCAGCCATTAGTCCTAAGTTATTCTTGTCACACTACAACTTTATTGTTATTAAGAGCAAGAAATTATTAATGGTCAGTTCTTGTCCTGATTTTCCTACACACATCACTCACTGACATTATTAACCAGATATTGTGGTTTCATAAGCTCTGATAAATCAACATTAGTATAATAAACTGAACACACTGACAAAAGACAGATGGAAAATTGCTTCAGTATAATTTGTACTGGAGCAAATCTGAGATGCTCGTGTGTTAGAGAAATTTTTTTTCTATTTACAGCATCGACACTGTTCAGCGTTTTCCTCTCAACACAGGCTTTTAACAGCGCGCCTGCCTGTC